AGGGGAATTAGGCAAGTTATTGTATAACAGTGATTTGTTCTGTAGACTGTCGAGAAAATATATAGCTTAAAGTGGCTAATAATATAAACCTTAAAATGGCTTTTAAAAAATTAAAAACTGCTTATATTCTAGCCAAAATAAAACAAATAAGACTTTCTCCAGAAGAAAAAATATTATCAGTCATACTGTGAAAATTTCCTTGCTCTTATAAACATAATTTGGGAAATATAAAAAAAGAAAAATCAAAAAGGGGCTAATAATTCTGACTTGAACTTTATATCTCAAAATGCCTAAACACTGTTACTACTGTATTACTCTAAACTACTAAAAAAATATTACAGTATTAATATTAATAATTAATTATTATTATAATATTACTATAAATAATACAGGTTTTTAACAAAACCTTAATTTTTATGTCCATGCACAACTCAAAAATAAACAAATATGAAGCATCACATGTTGAGCAAGTCCATGAATGAAGACAGAATAATTTATAGTACTTTTATTTTCACCATCACCACTCATGAATGTTCTTTGAATTTCAGTTACCATAGAAACGTAAGTAGTTTGCACTTTATTGGTGTCGCAACTCAAGCTTTTCCACATTGCCAAAAATTCACATTGATCGATCCTTTTAATGTTAACTGAGTTCTTATCCATTGTGCTGTAGAAAAATTACAATTTAAAAGGGGATTGTAATTGTATTTTCAATAGGAAACTGATTTTTAGTGATGGTTATAGTTTTTTAAACGCTAAAAAGTAGGTAACACTTTAGAATAACTATCCGTTATAACTAGTTACACTGAACAAAGTGTTGCATGCAGAACTGTTTATTGCAAACAATTTATTTGTGTTGAATTCAAACAAACAAATTAAATTTGATAATGTTTAACTTTATTTGTTTAAATTCAGCCCAAATCAATTGTTTACAACCACTGAATGTAAAAAAAAAAGTAAATCCAAGGAATCATCTTTGAATATTTTTTAGTGTAATAGATCATTAATAAACTGTTAGTTAATGAGTTAAAAATGACTTGTTAAATAGAAGTTAATAGTTTGTTCATTATTTATAATTGTGCCTTATAGATAACTTACAAGCTGTTAGTAAACAAGTTATAAATGACTTGTTAATGCATTTTAATGATTTATAATTATACCTAATAAATTAGTAACAGATCATGAACAAGCTGTTAGTAAATTACTTACTTAAGACTTGTTAAGTATCAGTTAGTAGTGAATATATGTTATTGGGACGTTATTCTAGAGTTGCAATTATTCTTCATTTAATAACTTAGTAAACGAGGAACAGTTGCAACTTTATAATAACGTCACAATAACATACATAAGCTAATAACTAACACTTAACTAATATATTAACTCACACTTTACAGATCAGTTGTTCATAGTTTGTTAACCATCTTACCAGTGAAACTTTGTAGAACAGCTAATGGATGGAATAAGTTCAAAACACAGAAATCTGATGTGATATTTAAAATATAAAATGTTTGTACCTTAACCTTGTTCCACTCATAGGCTTTTCTGTGTGCTGTATTTCACCAAAGAAACTCCACAGATTAAATGTTGAACGTTGTGTTTAATGTATAGAAACACACATACTGAGCCATCACATGGCAGAACAGCAGCATACAACAGAATACAAACCCATGAGCTTTGGGCACTTTGTGTGCTAAACATGAAAACAAAATAAATAAATAATCTTTTATTAGAAAATTTGGTAACACCCTTTACATGCATACACACACTCACACGCACACACTCAAGCACATACCAGTACATGACTATATTGTTGTTGTTTTTGTTTCGTTTTTGTTTCGTTGCTTTGTATTTGTTATTTGTTGATCTTTTTCTTGTATTTGTATGATTTTTGCATATTCTAATAAAAAAAAGAAAATTTGGTAACACTTTATAATAACTACACACTATAAATCATTTATTAAGCATTAGCAAATAGTGAACTCATTGTTTGTTAAGCATTAACTCTACATTAATAAGCGTTAGTAAGCAGTTTATAACTGCAGCTACAAATGCTCTATTCTTGACCTACAAACATATTTAAAATGTGCCTAATAATTGTAATTTTTATACTATGTTAATGATTGATGTTTTCATTACTTAAGCAAGTATTGCATTATTTACAATCCATTTGTATTTAAGAGTAGTTGATGGTTTTTAGAATCATCAAGAATGATTAAATGATAAATAAACTATTGAAATCAATATTTTTATGTCTAATTATTTAGGCATATAGTAATGGTTACTATATATGTTAATAAATGGTTTATTAACTCAACTTCATGCAGTTTTGTGACCTAATCTAAAGTGAGGACTATTCATGGTTTATAATTAATAATTATAATAATAATAATAATAATAATTATAAATGACAAATAAAGGCTCAGTTAAATTCTAAACAGGAAAAATGACATAAACTACATTATTCAAGTGAAACTACTTCAAATTAAAAATAAATCTGCAACCTTATGTAAAATCACTGTAGAGTTTAAACATTGCATCTTAATATATTGTTAAATTATTATATTGCTGTTGTGTTATCCTCCTTTATGTCATATTTTGACACTCCTGTTATTCAGCAATGTTTAAACTTTACAGTAATTTTACTTTTTAGATAGGATTGCAAAGATTATTGTTCATTTTATTCTGAGCCTTTATTTGTCATTTATAAGGGATTTATAAAGCATGAATAGTCCTCACTTATGATTAGGTCACAAAACTGCATGAAGTTGAGTTAATAAAGCATTTATTAACATATTAGTTAACTATTAGTATATGCCTGAATAATAAGACATAAGAATGTTGATTTCAACAGTTTATTAATCATTTACTAACTCATTCTGAATTTTTCTAAAAACCCTCAACTACTCTTAAATACAAACGGTTTGTAAATAATGCGATACTTAATTAAGTAATGAAAAATAAATCATTAACTAAGTATGAAAGTACACTCATTAAGCACATTATATAGCTGCTTATAAGTCAAGAATAGAGCATTTGTAGCTGCAGTTATAGACTGCTTAATAACGTTTATTAATGTAGAGTTAATGCTTAACAGATAATGAATTCACTATTTGCTAATGCTTAATAAATGATTTATAGTGTGTAGTTATTATAAAGTGTTACCGAAAAGTTCAACAAAAGTTTCTCTGGTGTTATTAGATGGTAAACAAACTATGAACAACTGATCTGTAAAGTGTGAGTTAATATATTAGTTAAGTGTTAGTTATTAGCTTAAGTAAGTTACTAGGACGTTATTCTAAAGTTGCAACGATTCCTCGTTTACTAACAGGTAATAAATGAAGAATAATTGCAACTTTAGAATAACGTCCCAATAACATATATTCACTATTACCTGATACTTAACAAGTCTTAAGTAAGTAATTTACTAACAGCTTGTTCATGAATTGTTACTAACTTATTGTATTAACTTGTTAACTGACAGCTTGTAAGTTATCTTTGGGCTATCTATAAGACACAATTATAAATAATTATTAACTTTTATTCATCAAGCCATTTATAAGCCATTAACTAACAGTTTATTAATGATCTATTAACTAGTTATAATGGATAGTTATTCTAAAGTGTGAACAATATCCCCACACAACACAACTATAAGCGAACATAACTACAAAAACCAACTCTTACACCTAAGAGCTGGAGAGAAGTGTTCCTCAGCTCACTCAAAATTATTAGCCCCTTTAAGCTATTTTTTTTTTCGATAGTCTACAGTCAAACCACTGTTATACAATAACTTGCCTAATTACCCTAACCTGCCTAGTTACCCTAATTAACCTAGTTAAGCCTTTAAATGTCACTTTAAGCTGTGTAGAAGTGTCTTGAAAATTATCTAGTCAACTATTATTTACTGCCATCATGACAAAGATAAAATAAATCAGTTATTAGAAATTAGTTATTAAAACTATTATTATTAGAAATGTGTTGAAAAATCTGCTCTGCGTTAAACAGAAATTGGGGGGGAAAAATAAACAGGGTCTAATAATCCAGGCGGGCTAATAATTCTGACTTCAACTGTATATAAATGGCAAGCTTTATTCATTCATTTTCATCTTAGTCCCTTTATTAGTCTGGGTTCGCCACAGCGGAATGAACCGCCAACTTATCTATCAATTTACTAAATGGAATGCAAAAACATCAAAGCTTAAACCACATTTGGAAGCTATACAGAGATAAAAGATGCTCCCCAAAAGCAGCAGCACTGCTTTAATGGGGTGTTTTTGCTAATTATACGGTGCCCGGGCACACTATTAGTGCACTTAATGGGATATATAAGAGTGGAGAAGCTTTGAGATCCATCAAGGGCCCACACAGGGGGCCAATCCATTGACACAGCCCCCTCATTGTCTTCACGTATCCCCAATGCTCAGCCTGTGACAGTGGAAGCAACCTAGGATTTAAAGGTCACGGCGGCACAAAGGGAAACTGGAGGTGCTTTATCTGACCGTGCCGTTCTTGTGCAATGCAGGAGAAATCTTTCAATGCATGTAAGTGACTGCTGAATGCCGGCCAGGAGAAACACAATATTGTGGTGGCTGTGCTTAAAGGAATCCCCTGCTGGCTGCGGGATGAGGCCAATGCAATGCAGGGCGAGGTGCAAAACAACACACGGAGACACTGGAAAAAGTGTTACACTGCTGTGTGTTTTGAATTGATGTCTATTAATAAACAATAAAATTGATAAATTAATAAATGTGTCAAAATTGGAGGTATTTTTTGTTCTTTTATTTTGTGTTATGCAGTAATATATTTGTTTGGGAAAAGTAAAAATGTCGCTAACCACATATTTTCCAAATATAACGTTGCAACATAGGCTCATTCTGAAAATGCAGCTCTATATACATTTCTGGAGATCGCGAATTATGTATCCAGAAGTACGTATGGCTGCGTTTCATGTTTAAAATGAACACTACGGGGTGGTATGATGCCGTTTATTTTTTTCGCAGTTACCAGCTGACCACTTACCTCCATGTAGATGGCTTTGCTGCTGTTAGTTTGCCCAATGGCTTGCCATGTACGTCGACGGAAGCAAAGAGTAGTTGACAATGATGACGGTTCCTGAAAGCAGGTAAGACGAAATCAAAACCCAAAAAAATTAAATAAACAAGTAAATAACAGGGTGCGAATGTGGTAAAATCTGAAAATGTGGTAAAAATCAGGCAAGGGCTTTTCTTTTTTTCGATTGCTTTTTAAAACTATTGGTTGGGTTTAGGGAAGGAGGAGGGTGAGGGAGTCGGTCGGTTGGTCAGTCAGTCGGTCAGTCAGTCGACAGCGGCCTCTGGTGGATTTACGCAAGAACAACATGTGCCAATGGCACTCGCGAGAGAAATTTGAGTTCTTAAAAAGCATACAAAGCAGCCTCTGGTGGATTCGCATATACAAAAACTGCAAATAAAAATAAAAATACAAAAAAAGAAACATACCTCCTGGGGACGTACTTGCCGATCACCAGAAATGTATATATCACAATATATTTTCAGAATGAGCCTGAGTTGCAGTTTTAGGCCCATTTGTAATATTTTTTCATAAATAACAAAGATTTGTTACAGCTTAATTCAATGTATTTATTAAAATAAAATCCATATTGATAAATAAATAATACAATTGACAAACTATAAATAATTAATATTTGCATCAATAAATAGTTTTGTTTTTTTATTCTTACTTTAATTTTTTATTATACAGTAATACAATTTTTAGGGAAAAATAAAAATGGCACTAACCACATATTTTCCAATTATAATGTTGCAGCACAGGCTCTTTCTGAAAACGTAGCCCTTATATACATTTCTGGAGATCACGAATTATGTAGCCAGAGTAACGTATGGCTGGGTTTCATCTTTAAAATGAATGCCACAGCATTCCGATGCCACCACGGTTTGTTTTGTAGACTATCGAAGAAAAAAATAGCTTAAAGGGGCTATTAATTTTGTCTTTAAAATGGTGTTTAAAAAATTTATAACTGCTTTTATTCTAGCCGAAATAAAACAAATAAGGCTTTTCCAGAAGAAAAAATATTTCCCTGCTCTATAAAACATCGTTTAGGAAATATAAATTTTTTTTTTTTTTAAATTCAAAAGGGGGATAATAATTCTGACTTCAACTTTATACACACACACACACACACACACACACACACACACACACACACACACACACAATAAATAAATATTTACGTTTAACTGTATTTTAAACTGTATTTTACCTGTTAAAAAAACTTGATATATTTTTGTTTTTGGCAGAACAAATATTTTGATTAATTTTAAATCTATATTTTTTTTTTCATTATATATATATAACTGAGTTAAAACTAACATTTGAGCAAAACTGATCAATTTAGATCTAACAAATTACAACATATTGGTCCAAAGCAAAACACACACACACACACACACACACACACACACACACACACACACACACACACACTCACTTACTCACTCACTGACTCACTGGCCACTTTATTAGGTACACCTGTCCAACTGCTTAACGCTAATTTCGAATCAGTTATTCACATGGCAGCAACTTAATACATTTAGTTGTGAAGACATGGTCAAGGTGATCTGCTGCAGTTCAAAGCGAGCATTAGAATGGGGAAGAAAGATGATTTAAGTGACTTTGAACGTGGCATGGTTGTTGTTGCCAGACGGTCTGGTCTGAGTATTTCAGAAACTGCGGATTTTCACGCACAACCATCTCTAGGATTTACAAAGAATAGTCTAAAACAGAGAAATTTTACTTAAATGGCCACCAGTTCTCAATCCAGTAGAGCACCTTTGGCATGTGGTGGAACGGGAGATTGGCATAATGGATGTGCAGCCGACAAATCTGCAGTAACTGCGTGATGCTATCATGTCAATATGGAGCAAAATTTCTGTGGAATATTTCCAGTACCTAGTTGAATCTCTGCCACGAAGGATTAAATCAGTTCTGAAGGCAGAAGGGGGTCCAACCTGGTACTAGTAAGGTGTACCTAATAAAGTGGCCTGGAAATGTATATATATGTTTTTTTTTACTTTTGTGAATGTAATTTGTTTCTTAACCACAATAAAAAACATTTGTGATTTCTATTCAATTAAATTTTAAAGTTTGAACTAAAGTTAAATTATACTTTGAGAAAAACTGTAGCTGTAACAAATTACAGTAATCTTTAAAAAGTTGCTCCAAAGTATCGGTTTTCTTTCAGTGTAAGGACACAAATCCCCACACCGAGAGGGCCTCTGTGGAGACGCGAATAAAGGACGGGGACTTTTTTTTTTTTTGTTAATGAAGTTTCATTTGATTCCCTCTGACAACCATTGAAACAATGAGCATTGGGAAATGTTGCCTAACAATAGTTTTTCGGACCAGGCCGGGCACTTTTCACACACAAAGCGAGAGGATCTTCCTTCCTAAAAAGAGCTGAAAGGGCCCTCGATAAAAGGCACCTGCAAACAAGAGTTGAAAAGGGTCAGCAAATGATGCCACTTTTGTTGGCGTGCACAAAGCGTCCGTGATTTCCATTGTGAGCTGAGAGCGTATTGTGCATGGACAATGCGTCAGCGTACACTGAGTACACAGGCGTAATTGGCTTTATTCGCCGCCTCTTTTGACCAGTCAGTCTGGATCAGCAAAAGCCAGATTGTTGCAAATGGGGCAAATCGTTCAACTTTATTTGAGAGTCGCTGTGTGCGTGTGTGAGGATGTTATTGTGCAATATAAACATTTTTGCTGGTGACTGAAGCAAGGGCGTGCATTCAGAGGAAAGGTCAATATTTAATGCACAAAAGGCTCAAGTGTTGGGAAATGACCTCATGTTTGATACAGAATTGTCTAAAACAAAATTGACATTTACTGTATGGATAAAGATGAAAGGTGCTAAATTAATGTTTTATCCAGCGCTTATCAACATTTTCATATTATTAACTTATTAACAAAATAATTCATAATTAACATTATAGTATTATTAACATTAATCAGAAATATACTTTCAAGAGTTCACACTTAGCTGATGATTAATTATAAGCTACTT